AGGAAGGAAGGAAGGAAGGAAGGAAGGAAGGAAGGAAGGAAGGAAGGAAGGAAGAAAAGAAACAACCATGAAATCTATGAAAATACATTCAACATCACTCAAAGTATAAGAAATACAAATTAAAACTATCCTAAGATTTCATTTTGTACCTATCAGAATGGCAAAAATTCACCACACACTGATGGTGGGGTGGAAGAGAAATCTGCACTCTCATATAGTAGCAGTGGTAATGCAAAAACAGTACAAAACCTGTGGAGAAAAATCTAGCAAAATCAAATATGCACTTACCATTTCACACAAAATTCCCACTTAAAGAATCCATATCAAAAACACTTATACAAAATATAAGAAATGATAAATGTACAAAGTGAGGAACTAGGGGAATCCCCTGGCAGTCCAGTGCTTAGGACTCCTCACTTCCAACTGCAGGGGGCCCGGGTTTAATCCCTGGTCAGGGAACTAAGATCCCATAAGCCATGCAGATGTCCAAAAAAATAAAAAGATCAAAAAAAAAACAAAGTGAAGAACTGGAACTCATTACCTTGTTGATGGGAATTTGAAATGATACAACCGTTCTGGAAAACTGCTTAACAGATTCTTATCAAGTTAAATAAATATTTATTATGAGATGGAACAGTTCCTTAACTAGTTATCACTTACTCAAAAGTAATGAAAACAAAGGCACACAAAAAGACTTGTACACAGCAGCTTTATTCATAATAGCCCCAAACTGCATATAATACAAATGTCTATCAACAAATATATGTATAATAAAATTGTGATACATTCACACAATGAAATTCTTTTCACAGCAATAAAAAGGAATAAAACTACTGATCCATGCAGCAACCCAGATGAATTTCAAAAGCATTATGCTCCAGCAGAAAAAACCAGAAACCAAACAGTAAAAACTGTATGATTCCCCTGAAAAATTCTCAAATAGGCAAAACTAGTATTGCGACAGAGTCACTGTTGTTTGGGGTCAGTTGGGGGAAGAAAAGGGGAACTGACCATGAAAGGGCTCACAAGGACTTTCTGGCGTAATAGAATCTTCTATTACCTTGACTGCAGCAGTGAATTACTCTTGTCAAAACTCCAACTATATTAAAATAGATGCCTTTATGTATATTATACCTCAATTAAAGTAATAACTTAAAAAAATTAATGTCTTAAAATCTAAGATAAATATATGTAGGGATTTCGCTGGTGGTCCAGTGGTTAACACTCCACGCTCACAATGCCGGGGGCCCGGGTTCGATCCTTGGTCAGGAACTTAAAATCCCACATACCGCAAGTAGAGAAGCCCACGTGCCGCAACGAAGACCCAGCACAGCCAAATATTAAAAATTAATTTTAAAGATATATATATGTATATATAAATATATAAATATATGTGTATATATACATATTTATATAAGATATATATATAGCAAATTTATAAACAAGGTATGGAAGGATGTGTATTAAAATGTTATTATTTTCTCTGATAAAGTAGGGCTGTGAAGAACATTACTTGTTAACCTAGACATCTATATTACCTGAATTTTTACAGCAACCACTTTCAACGTTTTAAAAAATTTTAAATTTGAGAAAAATAAAATAGAATACTTTTTAAACTAGAAGAATACATACTCCAAATAGAGAGAACATCCAAAAGGCTATTAGTACTTTAACTTACAAAAGACTAATGCATTAAAAAAATCTGTATATCAAAAAATTGAGTTGAACGCAAAAACTGAAACATCCAGAGCACCCAAAATTAAGCGTTATTATTATTCCTTAAAGATAGAGATATCATCCAAATCACTAATCAAATACCTAATCCACCAAAATATAAATGGCCAAAGGATATATATCAACATGCCATAAACAGGCAATACAAATGATTGGGGAGAGAAGTCAAAACTTGAAGAATAATGGGTATGGCCACGAGTTTTCTGATTCCATTTTCCTCCTTTATCTCCCGTCTCTGACAGAAGAGTGTGGCCTCAGTTACAAAACTATGTTCAGGGTGCTGACAAGAAAACACTTAAAGAAATTATCCCCCTGTCCAAAGGACCAGGAAAAGGGAACCCTGTGATCTGGAGATTGTGGGGGGAAATGCCTTCTTTTGGTCTTTTCTTTTCTCTCCTCAGCCATAGAATTGCACTGCCCCAGTAACAGAAAAACCCGATGAGAAAACCAATCTCTCTGGCCAGAAAAACTGGGAAAA